TTGACACGCGCGTATGTTTGATTTTATACTGAGTTTAATAAAAGATGACAACTTAATTTTTATCAGGTGAATATAGCTGTCGATGGCGATGCCCCTTTTAAATCACACTCTACACACTATATACAACACACTAATCACTGCACACACTAATTGACATACGTATACACATACACGCACTACACACTACATACACCACACTACACATACTACATACAACACACTACACATACACTGCATACACTACTCAAGTTACACATATGCGCACACTACACAGTACACGCACTGCACACTACATACAACACGCTGCACTACACACTACACACACTGCACTTTACATACAAGACACTACACACTACACTACGCGATACACACTGTACACACTACTCCACATACACATAGACACACTACACACCGCACACCACATACACATATGATGAACCTCTTTTTTGATAGTCTGTGTCCTCGCCGAGATTTGAACCATAAAACTTACGAGATCAAGTCAGAAGCATTGCCAGTATGCTCATTTCAAGGCCTGAAGATATGTTGGCCGACTTGCTGATATCTTGCTCGGCTTATGGGCATTTGAAGATGGAGGTTATATGTTCCTCCGAAACGTCGGTTTACTTTCAGCGGACTACACGGCATTATACCTTCAGTTGGTTAGATGTACACAGCTGCAGGGAACTTCATGACATCGATCCTGTGGTCAGCCGGCATGACAGAACAGCGCAGCTGGACCAGAGGTCGTGCGTCTGTCGGTGTGCCTATGTCGCCTGGGGCAGTGTATTGCTGTGCGTGACTTGCGATCCTATATTGGCGTCGGGTAGTGAGGCGAGGTCACTCAGTCTTCACCTTTGGGTTCCCCGTAAGGACCACAGGGACGCTACTGTAGCAGAGGCGATCCTGCGCCACGATTTTGCAAACCATTCCCTTTCTTTACAGAGGTTAATTATTGATGCTAATTCTGATCTTGGGTTGCAACAGCAGCAGCCGTTCTGTTGTTCCTGTCGTGACCAGTAATTGGCAGTAACCTAAACATGTCATGTAACAATGAAAATGAAACGGTATTAGTAATAATTACGGCACCAGTCACAGTTTGCATCAGTTTCTTGTTACTGAGAAAGTTCTGAGAAAGTTGTGTTCTCTTATAACTG